GAACATCTTCTCAATATCAGAGGTGAGAGCATATTTGAAAGATCTGAAGCGTAACAATATGTCATAAAGGTCAGGCTGGACCTGAAAGCCTTTGAGAGTTATGTCATTTAGGAAAAGGCCCGTTGTGGTTTTGCAAGAGGCGTCAAAGACCACACGCAGCTTCGTTGAGCACGCACCTTCTCTAACCACAGCATGATGAGGGAGGAAGCATTTGAGCTCCAGATTTTCATTAGCAGAGGAAAGGGGTACGAACCTGGCATGTCCAAGGTTAACATATTCATGAATAAATTTCTGATATTCATGAAAATAATCTGGGTCCTTTACAAATTTCCTCTCGAGATTGTGAAATCTTTTTGTGGCTATAGACAAAGAATCACCGAGTTTGAGATTTTCAGAGGGAGATTTCAAGGGTAAGTTAACTTGATAAGAGCCATTTTCTAATACTTGAGTTGTTTCCTTGAAACAAGCTTCAGCCTTTGCATCTTCAAGGGAGAGAGGGGCTTTGGTATGAATTTCTTCCATGGACCAAAATTTAGTCACTATATTTTCGAGAGAGCTATTGTCCGGGCTTTGAACAAACATAGAGACAGAGGAGTGCACTTGTTGTGCAGGGCTACTAGTGACTAAATGAGAGCAGTTATTATGGTGTGAATTTTGGGGAAACGTTCCTCCAAGAATCCAACCGAGATGAGTGTTTAAGACTGTGGGCAGGCCATGACCTAGATGAATCAGGCCTTTTGTCAGGATATTATAATAGAGGTCTGAACCAATCAGAAGGTCAATTTCCGAAGGACGAGTGAAACTAGGATCAGCAAGAACAATGCCGCTCGGTATATTCCACGAACTGACATCTATTTGTATAGAGGGGAGGGGTCCTGTTATTACAGGGAGAACGGCGCAGGAAATCTCAAATTTCCTATGAGGATACAAATTTGAGTATATTTTCAAATCAATCATCTTATTAGTAACATTGTTACTAAGAGCTATGCCAGACACATATGTTGTTTTGACATAGGGGACTAGTTTTAACCTTTTAACTAGTTTGTCAGTTACAAAGGAGTGTTGCGAGCCATTATCTAAAATGGCTTTGGCTTGAAGGGGCCGCCTGTCTGCGTCATAAAGTGTCACGCATGCGGTTGCTAAAAGAGTTTGTGAGTTTTTTGTAGAGAGTGCTGAGACGGAGTGGAGACTTTAGGAAGATTTGGGAAGTTCATTTTGGTTTGGTTGTGAGTCAACTTGATTTTGTGGTCTTGAACCTTGTGTCTGTGTCTTGGGAGGATGCTGAGACGGTTGCTGCTGACCATTAGAATAATTTGGTCTAGCAATCGAAGAGTTATTATGATGGGGTCTTTGTTGGGGTCTGTGACCTTGAGCTGGAGGATTTTGAGGGACAAAAGCATTGTGGAGCAATGTATGATGCCTTTGAGAGCAGATAAAACAACCTTTGGTTGCTGGGCAATTGGCAAGAGTGTGTTTGGAACCAAGACAATTAAAGCAGAGTTGTTTTGAATAAACAAAAGTCTTCCTTTCCGAGTCCTGTAAACCTTTAAACTTATTACAAACATAAATTTTGTGAAAGTCTTGATTGCAATATAAGCAGTGTGTAGTGACTTTACTTATATTATTTTGAGCGAACAGAGCAGCGCCAGAGTTTGGGGTTTTGTTTACTTTTCGTTGCCCGTTTTGTGCTGAAGGCACTTCCGTACTTGAGAGATTTTCCAAATCTAAGCATCTTTTTTCGAGGAATTCAAAAAGGTCATCAAGTTGAGGGAGTTGATTTAAATCGCGCTCATTCTCGAACGCCTTGCGCGTGCCAAAATCAAGTTTTTTTCCCATTAAATATATTATCAAAAATTCTCAGAGCTGTTCGTAAGAATAGTGCAAATTCTTTAAAGAAAGTAAATTTTTTCTACAATTTGCAACAAACTCTCTGAGAGTTTGAGCGTTACATTTACTGAGTGTGTTTTGTTCCAAGAGAGCAACAAAATGAGCGTTTATAGATTTTGTTTTCATATCGTTTTTGCAATATTTCTAGAGCGATATCAAAATTATCGTTTGTCACAGCCAAGTTTTCAATCAATTTCAATGGTTCGTTTCTCAAAAATGACTTTAAATAAATAAATTTTTGTATTTTACTCAGGTGAGTATTATCAATTATCAGAGCAGAGAAGATTTGAAAAAAGGAAGTCCACTCAGCGGTGTCACCTTTAAAGGGGTTTATATTTATTTGAGGGAGTTTCACTTCCATATGTGGTGGCAAACTCAGCTGTCGCAAACTAGTTTGGCTTATTGGTGGAGTGTTCAGGGTAACCGGAGACAATGTTTTAATACATTTTTGTATCAGAGAGAGAGTATCATAGAATTGATTTTCAACAATATCTCTATTTTCGTTATCATTTGCAGTGAATTCTTTAAGATAAGTTTCAATTTCATCTTGAGTCATTGAGTATTTTTCAAAGTTATCTTTTAAGTTAACTATACGATTTTCAAATTGAGTTGGATCTATTTCAACATCCTTATTGTTTTTCACCCAATTGGCAATGCGAGTAATAGCGCTTTTTGCGCGAGTACGGACCTGCTTCATAGCATCAAAATCCATATTGAGAAATAGCCTTTAAATAACTCCACCAATAATAATCAATTTAAAATGAATTAAGAGAGCCAAACAAGCTAATTAATGAATTGTACCTATACAAATCAATACACAATGTACCTATTTACAATATAGAATATTTACAACAGAGAATGTACTTACCAAGTACGAGCAATACAGGGATTCGAGTAGGCAAATTTCAATATATAATAAAAACACAAGTTTTTATTGAGCAGTGTAGAAATGAGAATCTTAAAGCAGTCAGAGATAGAGGCATAAAAAATTAAATTTTTTAATTAATTACATTTCAATCAAGGCTTTAATCCGGCTCGAAGGACCAATGTGACGAAACTAGCTATTACCCTTTTGTGGACTCTAGTCATTACCGCACCAGGGATGTCAAAAGTTTTTACTTTGACTGACTGTAAAAATTAACCATTAGGTGTTGGATCATTTAAGCCTTGTATTGAACTAGGGGTGCCTTGATTCTCATTTATACAAATAAAACGCTGAAATAGAATAGTTATCAATTTAATTAATAAATGAAGTTAATTCGGTTTAATCAGCAATCAAATCCTATCTAATAATTCCTATTTGGACGTCCAGTCGAACTACAAATTTTATACTAATCTAAAGTAAATAAGCGAGTAAATAAGTATCTTGATTTATAAAAAATAGTGAAATTTCATAATAATAATATCAATTATGGTTAAATGTTCAATGAACGAGAACACAAATTAACTAATTAGATTTACGAAAGCACAACACAAATAATTCGTAAACTTCAATCAGCTCACTGTATTCACAAAATGTTTATAATCCTTGAAAGTTCTTTTGTTTATTGAGAGTTAATAATTTGAGCACTTTTCTGCTGAAGTGTGTAAACAATAAGTGCAAGAAAAGTCTATATATATATGCTCAGTTTCTATATACAAATTTACAAATTAATGTTCATTTCACGAGTGTGAAAACCAAATTTCTGTATTAAAGGTTAGAACAAACACTTCAATTTATAGTGCATTTCAACCGAATCAGTATTCAGTATTTATTAATTTATTGTTCGACTGTTTTGAGAAATTGAAACGGTCTTACTTGCTTAATCCAGTTCATACCGGTAAATCCATACAGTGATTATTTATCCATTTATCACTATTCGTAGTAATTTGCACTGACAGCTAAGGAATTTTCCACTGAGAGAGAGAGAACACAATGATATACAGAGTTGGAGCCCGTCGAGAGTGAGACAGGAATAACCTTAAACAGGCGTAGTAGAAAATTTTGCTAGGTCCGAGATGACTTGCAACAATTTAGGGGTTAATTACATGAATTGTAATCAATAATATCGTTGATAATATAGACCATGTCAGGCCTTGAGACACTGGGAGTAGTATTTTACTATAATTCGCGTACTAACGGGGGTTTTTTCCTCTGTAGAGCGTTCAGAGGCGAGAGGGTGCAGAGTCTTTGCTTACTCTTCTGCTTCTTGATTACTACTGTTGTGTACCGTGCGTCGAGTCGACTGCCTTTTTCGGAGCAGGTCGCATAAATCAGGAATGTTGGGTGGCAACTGACCAATCACAACAACAAAATAGATCCATTGCTCATAGGGTAATGAAGAAATCTGTAATTTTACCTATTCAAAAGGGCTGCTGTTGCCAGTTTTACAGGAATCTTTTTTTAGAATATTATTTTTATGATAAATAATAGAAATTGAGATTATATTGATAATCTACAAATAATAACATTTTAAACTTGTTGTGGGTTATTTCCGCAACAAGTGCATTGAATGTAATTTATGATAGATTTTAAAAGCTAAATGGCAAGTCCGTTAATAAACAAATTAAATTAAATTAAATTAAAATCAAATATAATGATAAAAGACCACGCACGGATCTTATGAGAAAACATAAATTTCACAATTGTCATGAAATTGAAATATGTTATGCTTCTCGACCTCCTGAACGTAAGTTCTCGTAGGCCCAAAAAGATCCTATGATTAGTTCCGGAGATACAGGACCAATAAAAAAAAGTAGTCCAAGAAAAATCTGCAGAATTTGCTGGTACATTAATTTGATTTATAACCAAGAATGACATATTTTTGGCATTTTTCGACAAGTTTTCAACCTTCAAAGCTTCAGATGACATTACTTTGGCATTTTTCCACCCGTTTTTAACCTAGAATATGTCATTGCCTGAACTCAACATACTTTGAAATGTTTAATTTTTGTCAAAACTGTATGTTATCCCGGCCCTGTATGTCCGAAACTAATCATAGGATCTTCTTGGGCATACGAGAACTTTCGTTCAGGAGGTCGAGAAACATAACATATTTCAATTTCATGACAATCGTGAAATTTATTTTTTCTCATAGGATCCGTGCGTGGTCCTTTATAAGTCGATGACTCACCTTTCATCGGACGACCTCCTGCGCCTTTTTTTCTTCTTTTTGCGGTCTTGGTCCGAATCGCTGGAGTCGCCCTCGTTTTTGTCGTTGCGCGCGCGCGCCATCTCGCGGTCCTTCAGCCACTGGGTTTCCCACTGAGGATTTTCATTCACGAAATTCTACAAAAATTGAAATTATTATTAAAAAAAACGTAGTTTCACTTGAAATAAAATCAAAAGTTAAAAAGCTTTTTATTTTTGCTCATTTCTTATCTCATTTAATTTTTGTGTATAAACGCCACCATGATTTCCCATAAGGCAATCTTTTAATTTTATGTATAAACTCAGCTTTAAGTAATAAAATTCAGGGTAACTTCTTATTATTATTATTATTATTCTGTGTCATCACACACTTAGGTACCACTTACCTCATAATTATGAAAATGAGCCTGAGACTTCAAATGGTGCGAGGCGCAGTGCAAATCTCCAATCCAAACGTCACAAAGTTTGCAGTACCACGAAGGGGCCGATATAAAAAATTGCAACCCTAACAAAGAAAATAAATGTTAGACTTAAATCAATACAAAAATCATCATTTATAACAGGTCTTCAAAAAAAAAAACATATCAAAGAGTGCTTTAATTACGAAAACGTACGTCGGATTATGGTTTCTTTATTGGTCAGGATTTTTGACATGACATTTTGACATTAAAATTCATTGACAAAGTTAAAGGAAAATGTTGCTAAGACATATGTTTAAAAAACCATAGCAATTTTTGATATATTTTTTTTTCAAGACCCGTTACCTTTGATTGGTATCCGTTTTTTGGGAGCTTCATCGTAACTGGGCAACAGAGGCTCTATAGGCAATTTGTGCCATGGAGTGGTATCCACCTCGTTCTCTTTCGCCTTTTCCTGGTGCTCTTCGGCGTGCAAGTGTTGCAAAAAGTCTTTCGCCGTTTCCGGAAATTTGTCGCAGGCGCGGCACCAGTGCAAACCGGTGTCGTAGTAGATGTACGAAAATCTATAAATAAAAAAAAAACATCAAAACAATAGTGAAACATCGTTGAAGTCGGTATAAATCCTGTACAAATATGTAGTGAACTTTTAAGCTCATAATATCAACTTTTTTGTTTATGGTAACTTTTGGAATAAAATTCTCCATTTTCATGATGACAGAACTCTTGAACTCTATCCTAGGAGACAGATTTTTAACAACATCTGACATTAGGTTACATGCGACATTTTTTCTACTCTTTCTTTTTCAAGTTTTTGTTCTCTTGCTGTTTTTCCAAGCTAAAAACTTTTAAAATCTTTCCTTCTAGGTACCTGGTTCCATTTGCATTTTATTTCCACTTTTTTTTTTCATCCCTTCCTTCGAGCTACAATTCTGCAATTTATTTTCATGATTTTCAATGTTTTCTGTTTTTTGTTCTTCACCTTTTAAACTTATATCGAAATTTATGAAGTCTTGATTGCCTCTAAAGAAACTGTTGAGCAAATTAATCTTTATCAAGAGCCAGTAATAATCAAAATATTTACTATTATTGGCTCTTGATTCTTGATAGGCTCAAAATACTTATGAACTCATTTTTCGCAATTTTCTCTTATTGTTTTTTAGTTTTTCTCTTTCATGACCTCCTTAATGGTGCTGGTCTCTTTAGTTTTTAGATCTTGCGAAGGCATTCGACACCGTACCTCACAACAGACTACTTGGTGTGTGTTCTACAGGACTATGGTCACAGTTTATACCGTACCGATACAGTTGTACAACTCTCCATATTTTTTGAGGCCAAATTCTCCAACCAATAGGAGCATTTTGACCCATATCTTGCGCATGCGCTCAATGAGTGAACAAATCTCTCAAATTGAAAAAGCAGTTCGGCATATACATGTCTCTTTCCAATCCTGCACGCAAAAAAGAGATAGAGATAGCTTCGGTGAGAACCTGCGAGAAATAACTGTCAAACGAGACACGCAACAGGATTGTATTACAAAAAAAGAAGAGAAGTTTTTTGACTGAAATTATTCAGGAAATTGAAAAGTAACCGGAAAATTCATCAATTTGAAATTCGGCTTTGTTAAGAATGTTTTGCTTTCCGTGTTATTCGCGATTTTTGTGTACTTGACTGTTTTATCGTTTATATATTGTGCATTATTATGGTTGCTTCCTGTTTTGTCTGTAAAAACAACACTAGAACTAGCCCAGGCTTAGGATATTTAAGTTTCCTGAACGATGAACGACTGTAAGTATTTATATTTACATATTTCATATTAGGTTTACTCTATAGATTCACATAATCTTACCGATTCACATAATCGAACTACTCGGAATTCTAAATTATTCTCAATGTTAACCCACAAAAAATCCTAGTCCGACTCTGTCCACGGCCCAGGATTCGTTGTTTCCGATCAATAATGCGCAAGCGCGAAATATAGGGACATAAAATTTGGCTTCAAAAAAATCAATGGTTTGTCAACGGAGTTGAACAACTGTATCGGTACGGTATAAACTGTGCTATGGTGTCGGAGGTGCGGTGTTGGATGTTTCTCGGTCATATTTAACTATAGCAGAACAGTCATCGGTCTAATTTTGTTTATAACCAACATAAATTCAATGGCCAATATCAATATAAATGGAACAACAATTTCATATTCAGATGACACGATGCTGCTCTTCTTGGGGGATAGTTGGGAGGAGGTGAGGAGGAAGGTTGAGTTGAGTTTAGTGGCAGTGAAAGGATGGCTGGATAGCTATAAATTAACAATAAACTTAAATAAAGCAAATTATATGGCCTTTTCGGCAACGATAATAAATCGTCCAGAATTTAGTACCATTTTTGTGGAGGGCTTCGAAAAGTATTCCAGACTAACACGAACATATCTTATGTATCGATCTTTTTTTAACATATGCTAACCATCATCACATAAAATAGAGACAACAAGATACTCTGGGCGAGAACGGAACGTATTACTATGACAAGCATGAGGCGGAGTTTAGTCTAGTGCTGTGTTGCCAAGTGTAATTAAAAGATGTGACTTTATACTCGCGTTAGAAAGAGAAAATAAATATTCCTACGACTAAATGTGGCATTTTAGTAGTGGGGGAGTTTCGTCAGGATAGAAAGAAATGGACATGTTGTCAACACGTCATATTTTTGTTTATAAATCCGTCTATCTGTGGTAATAGGTCATTGGAGGGATCTTTATTGAGATATAGTATAGTGGCATGGTGGAGGGGACTTTACGGTAATGCATTAAAGTAACTAAACCTTACTCAGAACAACATTCTCAAAATTATACATAGAAAAGAAAAACAATATCCAACTCATGAACTTTACAGTGAAGATATATTTAATGTAAGATCAATGTATGTATTACAGGTTTGTGCCCATATTCATAAAGAAAAATGCAAAAAGTTTGTAACACATGAGTATGAGACAAGAAGTAGGACTCAGAAAAATTTACAAATACCCAAAAGTAACAAAAGCTTGGATCAGAAATTTCTAACATACCTCGCGCCAAAATTTTATTTGTTGCCAATAAATATTAGAGACATAAAAAATCAAAAACAATTCAATAAAAAGGTTTGTTGCGGAAATAACCCACAACAAGTTTAAAATGTTATTATTTGTAGTTTAATATAATCTCATCTCAATTTCTATATTTTATCATAAAAATAATATTCAAAAAAAAAGATTCCTGTAAAACTGGCAACAGCAACCCTTTTGAACCAGTAAAATTACAGGTTTCTTCTTTACCCTAATATGAAAAAAAGGGAACTACGCCCATACCTTATTGGTGGGATCAAGAAATAGAGAAAGACGTAGAAGATAAAAGGAAGAAATACCAACAGTATCTAAGTTCAAATAAGACACGAGACAAAGAAATATATAAAGAAGCACAAGCAAGAGTACGGAATAAAATAGTATACAAAAATAAAGAGTCATGGGAAAGAAACTGTGAGCATATTAATCCTTATCTGGGGGGTAAAAGAAGCACAGAAAGTTGGAGATTACTCAAAAACATGAGGAAAACACAAACTAAGGATATTATCAATACAATAACACCCCAGCAATGGGAAGAGTACTTTGAAGAATTACTGACAGAACAGCGGGCAGAGTTTAAAGAAGAAAGGGAACAGACACGAAACATAAAAACTGCAGGATCACCAATACGAGTTATGCAAGAAGAAGTTAAAAAACACTGCGGCTTTTTGAAAAATGGTAGGGCACCAGGCCCAGAAGAAATATGTGGAAAACTGATAAAGTGTGCACTGTGGAACCAATAAACTCTACAAACATTTAACAAAACTATTTCAAATATGCATAGATAAACACGAAGTACCGGAACAGTGGAAAATAATCTATCTAACAACGATATATAAGAAAGGAGACAGAAACAAATGCGAGAACCATCGACGAATTGCAGTAACAAATACGCTAAGCAGAGTGTATGGAAAACTTATAAAAATCAGAATAGAGAACGAGTACAAAGATAGTGACGCAGAAGAACAGGCCGGTTTTAGAGCAGGAAGATCAACTGTAGACCATTTATTCAGCTTAACCCAGGTAATGGAAAAGAAACTAGCGTATAACCAAGAACTCTATTTACTTTTTGTAGATCTAAAGAAAGCATACGACAATGTTTCTCTAAAAAAGCTTTGGGAAGCACTGGAAAAGACAAATATCAACTTAGAACTAATAAAGGCAGTAAAAACGATCAATAGTGAGGCAAAGACCAAGATTAAACAGGGAAACTTAATCAGTAAAGGCTTTATAGCAACTAAAGGATTTAAACAGGGATGCTGTAATGTATATCACCAACACTTTTTGAAATATACGTAGAACAAGCGCTTAAAGGGTGAAAAAATAAATGTAGACACATGGGAATACCACTCAATGAATACAATCTAAGCTTTGTAGATGATCAAGTATTAATTGCAAAGTACTATGATGACCTAAAGTACGACACGAAAATTGATAGAGGAATACGAGACATGGGGTTTGGAAGTAAATCTAAAGAAAACAGAATATATGACTCTAGACGAGAATGAACGAGAATAATATACTCTCTCTTTCACTGTATATTATACAACACCATAGTCAAAAGCATAGTCACATATAGTTCAGAAGTCTGGCCACTAAAGATCAGAACCGCAAAAATGCTGGAAGTGACTGAAATGGACTTTTGGAGGAGATCGGCAGACAGGTCAAAAATGGAAAGGATAACTTGATTGACTGTTACTTGAAGTGGAATGCTCATGCTGAATATATGACTAAAAAAATTAGATCTCTGACTTATAGGTTCTATATTCTTAGAAATATTTTGTCATCAAACATGTTGGTCACACTGTATCGGAGTCTGGTGGAATCTTTGTTAGCATATGGTATCACGATCTGGGGTTCGATGTATAAAAATGCGCTGAGGCCGCTACAAATTGTTCAAAATAAAATTTTAAAAATAATTTATAAAAAAGATTATCTGTATCCCACAAATATGCTATATACTGAGGAAATAGTAAATTTGAGAACTCTATTCTTCCACTCAGTTAGTTGTTACATTCATAAACACCGCAAGATGCAGCCTATTGTGTTACATAATCAAAACACCCGCTTTCGCATAAATCAGCTTTTGAGGATTCCGGAATGTAAAAGCGAATTTTATAGACGCTCAATTGGTTTCATGGGTCCAAAGGTGTTTACAACCTATTACCCACTGAGGTGAAGAATGTTGTAAAATCAAAACTGTTTTCAAAAAGATCGAAGGCATTCGTTTGGACAAATCGGATTTTGTCTGAAAAACTGCTTTGATTTGATGACAATAACGTACCGTGCATTCAATTTATCTTGATAACATTTTAATTCGCTGTAACTTTTTTGTTTTTGAAGGTATCAAGGTGAACAAAAAAACAAAATGTAGGGTTGGTAGCCAAGTTTTTTTTCAAGGTACCTATAAAACAAAACACTATCAATTTTATGACATATGAGCCTACATTATATTTTTTCAAATGGAACACCCTGT